GCAGCCATTCTCAAGGTTGGGCTGGAATTGGAGCTGGATGGGGTGACTAGGTAAGACTTTCCTGTTGACATTCGCTTTCCCTTGAGCCTGTGATCTATGAGGTAAATTAACCGCGGCAGGCCGTTCGTTGCCGGGACAGCATTTTGTTGCGTTTAGGCTTCGGGCGCAATTCGCTGGGCATCCCTGGTCGGAAAGCCCCACACCACACCAGAGTCCAAGCCAGTTAAAGCTTCTCTACTTCCTGCTTCAAATTTAGAGGGCGCTTCTCACCTTTTGCCTTATTTGCGAAAACATGACGTGCCACCAAGCGGCGCACTTTCTGCACTCAGAGCTCGTGTGGACAATGTTACTTAAGAGGAACTTCCTGTTGCTTTCCTGTCAATGTCTTTCGCATTATTTGCAATCAGCTTTCAGTTGGTCTCCTCGTGTTGTATTTTGTGTTCAGAGAAGTTTGCGGGACCTATGGCCGTTAGCTTGGAGCCAGACTTGCCCTAAGCGATAAACCGTGGACTTTGCCTACAACTTCATCCCCATTCACGGGCAGCCGGGTTGCCGTTGGCATTTGAAGAGCTTGGGGGCGCGATGTTGCGGGCGGGCAATCAGAAATTCAAGCGAGCCGCCAATTTTCAAACAACGAACTGTTGTTTCGCATTCTACTTTGCTTCTCTCCCAAGACCAAAGCACACACCCCGCAGCGTAAACCAAGCAAATATGTTTGTACGTGCGCGAAAAAAGGAACAAATAACCTGAAAACCGCTCAGCGCCAAGTAAGGTTTAACAATGAGGCCACAAGAAGCGGCGAGGTCAGAAGATTCTTCGCCACGTCGGATTCACGAGGGCGCGTCCATCGACCGGCGAACGGTGCGTTTCTCCTAATTTTGGCGCGGCCGTGGTTTTGTCCTTCGGCGCGCCGAAAATTCTGGCTCATTCTTACTTGCCATTCCAAAATGCTGCGTATAAAGGCACCCAAGAAGCACCTTGGGAAACAAAGAAAAGCTGCAGCCGTTCGGTTTCATTTTGCGTTTCTTTACGCCTTGACGCATCTTGTGAATGTTCTCGTTTCTTTAAGTGGCAAAGGCGTTCTCCTCTTCGACCGATCTGTCTATTCCTGCAAAAACATCACATCAGTACCGGCGCTTGTGGAAGTTCAGCAGAGTGACCGGCATCTCTTGCTCTGAAGGGGTCTTGTTAAATCTCGAAATCGCTTGCTTGGATTGCAACTGGCGCTTGGCATACGAGGGCTGGCCAGAAGTACGCCTGTTTGATACGCCAAGGCGCCTGAAACGAGTGGCGCATCACTTGTCACCAAACTCTCTAAATGCGTTTGTGCTCCCAAAAGCAGGCAACGACTCTCCTAGCCGCACGCCGGCGCTTACAACACATCAAATTGGTTTGTTTCGGTTCGCGTCCGGCTCCCGACCTCCTCGGGCTTCTGCTGCAACCCACTCTTCTCCATGAGCTCGTGCTGGCAGCGACGTGCAAAACTCTCAATGCAACGCTGCGAAACTGAGACTTGTACCAAATCCACCCAGCCGCCCTGCTCGGGGATGCCATACTTGCGTGTCCTCAGCTTGTGATGAAAATCGAAAATGATGAGGCCTTGATGAGCTCAGGGCTCATAGCGCAAAATCCGCACCAGTGCTCTGGAGATCTCCTTTGGAGGGGCAGGGGCAAATCGTCTGGACATGACCCGGCCAGCCTCCTGCGCTGCCTTAGACATCGCATCGCCGTTTTGGCCCTGGCAAGCGACTCAGCCCACGGAAATCCGCAGAGGGAAGCCGGCCTTGGCATATCCTTTACGGTCGCGCGCCATCAATTCATTGGAGAGATTTGGAGAGATCGAATTGCGGGACACTGAATTAAATCTCTGGCATTTGCATCTGCAAGAACTCACTTTGCGACATCCTGATTTTCTGGAAAGCGCGTGTTAGCCAGGCCGTGGCTGGGCGTCTGACAAATCAATGACATACCGGGTCATGGCGTTGCAACGAGGCTGGGAATCACCTCAAGCTTGAGCGGGCAACGTTTTCCGCTGCTCGGGTCCTGTTTGGCCAAGTTGCAGACCACTCCCACAGACTCGATCAACTACAACACCACTGGACCGACCAACCTAGCGCAAATCAGCTTTAAACCAGCCCCAAACCCACCCAAAGTCAGCTACGACGATAGTCATGACACGATCCAGATTCAAAAGTCAGTTGCACGTTCATAGACACTCCTAGAATTATATCTCTGCCATTTTCGGCACCTTCCAGTGCTGGGGACACAATCATCATCATCAGCTGCGGGTGCTGGGAATGCTTGAGATACAAATTGCGACAATAGTCGCGACGATGCGGATGATGACATCGATCCAACATGAAGAAGCCTGTGTCCCCACAGCACATGGTCAAATGCAAACTGCGGTTTTGGGCGAACACGAAGTAGCCCAGGGAATCAAAGAGGTACACGTGGTCCACGAAGTACCAAAAGAACCCAGTCTCAACGCACAATGGAGAAGGTGCTGATGACCAGGTTGTGGGAGTGACAGTTGAAGAAGATCAAGTTTGGGAGGGTTGGAAAACAGGTTACAACAGAAAGTGAAGTTCAGAACCAGGCCCAGGAAGTCCTCGACGACCAGCCACCCACCACCTAACACCGGCCGCGGCAACACCAGGACCTTTTCCCGATGGTGACGCAAGCCGCCGTGCTATGGCCGATGCACGCAAATCCGAGAGACCCCTGACGGGAGGTTTAAGCTTGAGCCAAACGGCCATTCGGCCGGTTTGCTTTATGAAGAAACAACACGTGAACAAAACACACCCCCCTCATCCGATGTCTGGACGGGAGAAAGGATGCAAGACAGTTGAGTTCACGACGAAAGAAACCAACCAAAATGCCAGCGTCAACTCAGAGGTGAGCCAAACGGCATCACCTGGGCCCCAGTTAAAATCCCGCCACCACCCCGAATTAGCGGGGCGACAGGATTATTTGACGAATGGGCCACATGAGTGAACAAGGACATATTGGAGGAGCCAGACGAAGATTCCTCTCGAGCCGATCATGCGTTGCTTTGGGACCATGACCCCCGGAGGGGGGTCCTATCTGGATCACCGCACCTCACGGCACGCCACCACGTGGTTGAAGATGGTATCGAGTTGAAAGGGAACTTGAAAAGGAAATTCCGAAGGATTGGTGAGAAATTGCCCATCTACGGCCGGCCCAGCGCTTCTAGTGCGGTCTCGGCCTCACACAGGATCACCAGGGGAACCATCTCCAGCGCGCACGGCAGCGGTGCGGGAGGAGCATGAACAACGCCGGATCAGCGGTACAGGGCAATGGAAATCATCACCCACAGCAGCGCCGCATAGAGGACCGGTGCAGTCGCCTTTTTCGGCGACATGTGCGCCATCCTCGCCCTTCTAAGGCGGATGATGATTGCGGTACCCGCCTACCACCCTGGACCGGGTTCTTCCCGGTCTCTGGGCGCGTCATCTCTCCGACGTCCACCGCGATCACCTCGCCCCGGACCGCGCCTCTCGGACGGCTCCTCACGGTGTAGGAGGTCGGCGATCATCGCGTCGGCCTCCGCGGGTATCCCTGACACGATCATGTGCACGGCATTGCCGCGAAAACCGTTGGCCTCGTCGTCCACGAAGCCGGGCCCACGATGTGAAGCTCCGGGGGACGCCATCACACGTACAGGTAGGCGAGGGGGAGCAGGTAGCGGGTCACGTCCCGCAACCGGATCACCAGCCCCAGCTTCTAGCTGGTTACGGCTGATAACCTGCGGTTTCAACGCACAATGGAGAAGGTGCTGATGACCAGTTGAAGAAGATCAAGTTTGGGAGGGTTGGAAAACAGGTTACAACAGAAAGTGAAGTTCAGAACCAGGCCCAGGAAGTCCTCGACGACCAGCCACCCACCACCTAACACCGGCCGCGGCAACACCAGGACCTTTTCCCGATGGTGACGCAAGCCGCCGCGCTATGGCGGATGCACGCAAATCCAAGAGACCCCTGACGGGAGGTTTAAACTTGAGCCAAACGGCCATTCGGCCGGTTTGCTTTATGAAGAAACAACACGTGAACAAAACACACAAACAATTACACGTTCAGAGCCTGGACACTCCTGGTCTCTTATTGAAAGATGTTGGCTGCAATGTCCGCCGCTGCGTGCAATCGGCGCTACCATTTTCGTAGGCCCAGCTTTCAATGCTGGGGGTGCGTCATCCTCGCAATCATAGACAGACGCGGTTGGCCCGAAAACAGAAATGCTGGCAATGCTGCCCTCTCCATCAAAAATTCTCTACTTGATGAATTCTCCTTGTGTCTAACCACAATTGCGCGGTGCAGGGGCGAGAACCCCGCTGGTGTGTCTTGGAACTGGCATGGAAGAGTCAAACAAGAATTGACAGAGAATACTCGGATGGCACATGAGATGCGCATACAAGATTGCACGAAGGTCAATCACTATGAAAACACGGAACTTCCCCCAGTCTGCGCTGAGACTGACGCAAAATCAGCATTCCCAAGGGGCTGCGCTTGCCACGAAACCAGCATTCCGCCCGAAAGCCGGCCGCTGCGCTGACCGATGCCCCTGAGCGTGTTGAAAGTCAGCGGTGTAGCAAGTTGAGCGAGTGAGAGAGTAAGCGTGTGTGCAGGTTAGTGAGTGTAGCTAGTGAGTGTAGCGAGCGCAATGTGTAAACGGGATGAGTGAGAGCCAGGGTGGTTGAGAGTCAAAGAGCGGGAGTTGGAGAAAGGAAATCAAGGGGGAGAGAGGAAGGAGGGGGAAGGAGGGGGAAGGAAGCGGAGGGTGAAGGAGAGCGCCGCGGACGACGGCGCGAACGTAAGAACCCGCACAATGAAGGCAATAAGGACACCAGTAAACATACTCTAACCTTTGACTAGAACCACAACGGCCAAAGCCAGGAAACGCAAAAAATGAAAAGGAAGCTCGGAGAAGATTAAGCACCCAAACCAACACCCCGAAAAACAATCCAGCAAACAAGCGTGCGTTTTGTCTTGCGTGCTGCTCCGCCCCCGTCCGTCTTTCACTCGTGAGCGGGCGTGCAAAAACACATTCTGCTGCAAGCCTGTGCAGCTGCTGCTTTGGCAGCTACCTGAGTTTGGCCCACACTGTGTCACACTTGCCCGGAGACAAAGCCAAAATGAAGCCCTGCGCCTGGCGGGGCCACTGCGAGGCGGCTTGAGCAATGGCTTGTTGGACACGGAGCACACTTGGTCCTGACATGAGTTACGTCGAGCACTATAACAAAGCCAACAAGTTCCAACATCCCAGTCAGCAAGCCTCCGAAAACGCTTCCGGGGGAAGTACGTCCGCCGACAGTGTTCCCATCACCACCTGAAGGATCAAAGAGTAGTAATTTCACATTTTACATGCGTACCCAAAATTACCACACAAAAATTGCTTTTGTGTAGTAAAATCGTTGTGTAGTAAAATGGGCAATTTTACCACACATTTACTACACAAAATTATTACACATTTTTTAACAAATGTGTAGAAATTTTACTACACTGTGCAGTAATTTTCTGTGTAGTAAATTTTGGTGAAATTCGCAAAGTGCATCCAAACTGCGTTCAAACTGCGTTCAAACTGCATTGGCTTTGTTCTTGCCAGTTTCCGAGGCGCGTCAAACCTACATCAAACCACAAACAAACTGCATCGAAAGCACATCGAACTACATCCAAGCTGCATGCAAACGATCAAACTACATCAAAACTACTATACTAAATTGCATCAAAACTACATCAAACACATCAACACTACATCAAACTTCATCAAATCTTCCTTTTTAAGAGGTGGGACGCCAGTTTTTTTCAATTTGGAACACAACGAGAATAAAATCAACTATGTAGCACAACATGTCCAGTCACCCACAACTGCCAATCTCATTGTTGTGCGATCACCTTGCAAGCTGAGTATCGCGCTATAGAAGCATGATCTTGTGAGTCGTGAAACTGTGGGGCTGGGCAAAAAAGGTTTTGAAGGGAGACGCGGCATGATCAGTGGGGCAGCGCTATATAGATTCCCAAGAACTGCACAAAAAGCATGACAGGAAAGGTGATCTTGCGGGCTGAAACTGTCTGGGGCTGGGGAAAAAAGTCCGCAAATAAGAATTTGTGGGACCCAAAATGGAGCCCAGTCCCATCATTTGATCTTGTGGGTTGAAACTGGAGCTGGGAAAAAAGTTTTTGAAGGGAGATGCGGCTGAACAGTGGGACAACTGAAAGGGCGCCATAGATGCATGAGAGCTGCGCAAAAAACATGACTCTTGAAGGGCGATCTTGTGGGTTGAAACTGTGTGGGGGGGTGGGGAAAAAAGTCGGCAAATGAGAATCTGGGGTTGGATTCATTATAGATTTAGGGCATTTTCAGTTTTATCAGGTTTCAAGTTTGTTTACCTATCCTTTCGGTGGCTTCAAGGTTGTCTTGTGGCGGAACTTGAGCCCGAAATGGAGCCCAGTCCCGTCATTTGATCTTGTGGGTTGAAACTGGAGCTGGGAAAAGGCTTTGTGAAGGAAGACGCAGCATGAACAGTGCGACAACTGGAAGGGCGCTATAGATTCGTCGCCAGGATGTGTGTCGACACGAGCTGTGTGTGGAAGAACGTCACGGGAAGGAAAGCTGCAAGCTCCGTTCGCGGGTCTTTTGTCCCCTTGGACTTCTGTGCCGGCCGGGTCTTTTGCGGCTGTGTCCGCAGATGATGGGTAAACACAAGCACGCAGAGGCTTTCCGCGCAACAACAGCTATCAATTTGGTGTTTCTTTTTATAAACAGAACAGTCCAGCTGCATCATCTGTCTCTGTACTTTGCCGGAAAAAGGGCTCACGGGACGCGGGTCTCTGCCCACATTTCATTCTCGCTCCATCTGCACTCAGTATTTTCTGAGTTCGTAGCAGTCTTCCAAGCAGGCATGACGCTGCGTGTTGCACAATGTGACCCGGAACCACGCGACAGAAAAAAAGAGAAACGAAAACATGCCAGCGCGTGGAGTTGAGAAGCCCGTTTGCGCCATCCACGCTCAAAGAAGTTCCCCTTGCAGCCAAAGACTGCCTGGCGTAGATTCACGGTGGCTTTGGTGGAGGTCCCACGGTGTGCGATCCACATGCCCTCGCCATCGTCCCACATGATGAACAGCTTCTCGCCGTCCGCTGCGAATTCTGCGCCCTTCTGGCATTCCCAGTAGGCATGTTGGTTTGCTTTGTCCTCGCTTAGTATAAGTGTGTGGCTTGAAAAAGAAGGCAGAAAATGACACAGCCCTGCAAAGTAGAGTTGGTCTTAACTCGCAAGAGACAGCTTTGTGGTTTGCTTTTCAACAGGTCGCTGGTGCCAACGTGCAGTTGAAGGCATAGCCGCGCGCGAAGGCCGCCGTCGTGCCAACGGTAAGCTTTGCTGGCAGTTGGGAGGAGGCTGCAGCCGGAACCAAAGCCATTTTTTACTTTTTTTTATCACAGGTTTCAAGTTGTTTTTACATCTTTTGGTTGGCTTGAGCCCAAAATGAAGCTCTGCCACTGAAAATTCCACGAAACTATATCAGCCACAGCAAGAATTCATTCAATGTAAGAATTTGGGCATTAGATTTAGGACATTTTCAGTTTTTTATCACAGGTTTCAAGTTGTGATATATTTTTGGTTGGCTTGGCGGAATATGAGCCCAAAATGAAGCTCTGCCACTGAAAATTCCACGAAACTACATCAACCACAGCAAGAATTTCCAATGTATAGATTTAGGACGTTTTCAGTGTTTTATCACAGGTTTCAAGTTTGTTACATTTTTTGGGTTGGCTCGGAATACGAGCCCAAAATGAAGCTCTGCCACTGACAATGCCACGAAACTACATCGACCAATTCATTCAATGTAAGAATTTTTGGCATTAGATTTCAGTTTTTTCTCACAGGTTTCAAGTTGTTTTACTTTTTTTGCCTGGCTTGGCGAAATATGAGCCCAAAATGAAGCTCTGTCACTGAAAATTCCACGAAACTACATCAACCACAGCAAGGATTCGTTCAATGTAGGCATGAGATTTAAGACATGTTCAGTCTTTTTTATCACAGGTTTCAATTTTTTTACATGTTTTGGTTGGCTTGGCGGAATATGAGCCCAAAATGAAGCTCTGCCACTGAATCCACGAAACTACATCAACCGCAGCTGGCTTTTCTTCAATGTAAGAATTTGGGCATTAGATTTAGGACATTTTCATTTTTTTATCACAGGTTTCACGTTGTTTTTGTTTTTTGGGTTGGCTCGGCGGAATATGAGCCGAAAATGAAGCTCTGCCACTGAAAATGCCACGAAACTACATCAACCACAGAATTCATTCAATCTGAGAATTTGGGCATTAGATTTAAGACATTTTCAGTGTTTTTCACACGTTTCAAGTTGCTTTACATTTTTGTGCGGAATATGAGCTCGAATGTCCACCACAAAGCAAGCAAAATCTGCGCGCACCTTATGTCCACCACAAGGCAGGAAAAAATCAGCGCGCAACGAATGTCCACCACAAACGCAGGCAAAATCTGCGTCCACGACAGAGCAGGCAAAATCTGCGCGCGCGCCTTATGTCCACCAAAAAGCAGGCAAATTCTGCGCGCACCTTATATCATCCACAAAGCACGCAAAATCTGCGCGCGCCTTATGTCCACCACAAAGCAGGCAAAATCTGCGCGCGCCTTATGTCCACCACAAAGCAGGCAAAATCTGCGCGCAACGAATGTCCACCACAAAAGCAGGCAAAATCTGCGCGCAACGAATGTCCACCACAAAGCAGGCAAAATCTGCGCGCGCCTTATGTTCATGCAAAATCTGCGCGCACCTTATGTCCACCACAGGTTTCATTTTTTTTACATGGTTGTGGTTGGCTTGGCGGAATATGAGCCCAAAATGAAGCTCTGCCACTGAAAATTCCACGAAACTACATCAACCACAGCAAGAATTCGTTCAATGTAAGACTTTGGGCATTAGATGTAGGACATTTTCAACTTTTTTTATCACAGGTTTCAAGTTGTTTTACATGTTTTTTGGTTGGCTTCGCGGAATATGAGCCCACAACGAAGCACTGCCACTGACAATTCCACGACACTACATCGACCACAGCAAGAATTTTCTCAATGCGCCAAGCAAATGCCACACAAAACTTCACACAAAGCTGCAAACCTAAGTTGCACTAACGGTGTAACAAAAATGCGTTACATCATCCAAAACTGCATGCAAACTGCCCAACTGCAGGAAAATTGTATTGAAACTGCACTCAAACCGCAATCAAACTGCAATCAAACTGCACTGAAATTGTAAAAATACACTCAAACTACATCCAAACGTCACTCAAACTGCAAAAGGGCATTCAAACTTCACTCAAACTTCACTCAAACTACATTCAAACTGCAAAACTTCATTCAAACTTCACTCAAACTTCACTCAAACTGAAACTGCAAAACTTCACTCGAACTTCACTCAAACTTCACTCAAACTTCACTCAAACTGCAAAACTACACTGTGTGAGTGAAGATTGAATGCAGTTTTGCAGTTTGAATGTAGTTTGAATGAAGTTTGAGCGAAGTTTGAGTGAAGTTTGAGTGAAGTTTGAATGCCCTTTTGCAGTTTGAGTGAAATTTGGATGTAGTTTGAGTGTATTTTTGCAATTTCAGTGCAGTTTGATTGCGGTTTGAGTGCAGTTTCACTGAAATTTTCCTGCAGTTGGGCAGTTTGCGGGCAGTTTTGGATGATGTAACGCATTTTTGTTACACCGTTAGTGCAATTTCAACATAGGTTTGCAGCTTTGTTTGAAGTTTTGAGTGCATTTGCTTGGCGCATTGAATGAATTCTTGCTGTGGTTGATGTAGTTTCCCAAAAAATGTTAAAAAACTTGAAACCTGTGATAGAAAACACTGACAATGTCCCAAATCTAATGCCCACACTCTTATACATTGGAAATTCTTGCTGTGGTTGATGTAGTTTCGTGGAATTTTCAGTGGCAGAGCTTCATTTTGGGCTCATATTCCGCCAAGCCAACCAAAAAAAGAGTAAAACAACTTGAAACCTGTGATAAAAAACTGAAAATGTCCTAAATCTAATGTGCAGGTTCTTACATTGAATGGATTCTTGCTGTGGTTGATGTAGTTTCGTGGAATTTTCAGTAGCCGAGCTTCATTTTGGGCTCTTGAAGCCTGTGACAAAAAAACTGAAAATGTCCTAAATCTAATGCCAAAATTCTTACATTAAATG